TGGGGTTGCAAAGAGATGGGAGGTGAATAGGTCAAGGTTCTCACGCAGGGCCAAGTATTAATGTCCAACTGCCAGAAACACGGGGAAAAAAAGCATCTTTCATGTTTTATTACTCAGTGATCGTATAATTCATTATCCAGACTAGACTATATTTTCAGAGTGAAAGAAGGTGTTTAATTCCTCTGTGGCAGCAGACAAGGACTAAGACACTAACTGGCAAAATGGAAAGTAAGGTCAGAAATAAGCCCAGGCATGGCTTCCTCAAGGGCCAAGAGCACCTGTGGGAGAGGAGCCACCCAGAGCATGCCTGCATCTGTTGCTCCTTGCCCTGCACCCCTCCCCTGGGAAGAGAGGGAGAATGAGGGCCATGTTTATTAAACTTCCAATTTACTCACCCCTCACAGGAGCCACTGATGAGATGAAGAAACTGAGGCTGAGCTGGATTAAATGACTTGCCAAAGGTAAGCTCATGATAGAGGAAGGCTTCCGAGATGGCTTGTCTGGTTTCAAAGCCAATCCTGGTTTCTCCACCTACACTAATACAGCCCAGCAGTGCCTGGCATTTGAGGCAGAAGGAATGGCAAGAAAAGCACTAAAAGTCTGCTTTCTTCTTCTGACCTTTTCTGGGAGAAAGTTAAAAAAAAAAGCAGGTGGAGACTCAGTGTATTGAGCCATGGGAAATGCACCAGGCAAAGGGCCTCTGCGCAGGAGACCAAGCTCAGCCAATGAGCTGACACTTATTTCCACTTAATTATGATCTATCTTTAGGTTCTGATGATCCTGAAATTCTGTCTTAGGTTGATCAAGATGAATATGTCAGTGCACCATGATATGCATTGCTGCTTACATGGACACAGGTGAGCAACGTTCTAGAACAGTGCGTTACTGCACAGACCAGGATATGCCACAGTATAGACTGAATAACTCTATGTGTATTCATAATCTTCCCTGAGGATAGGGGTGGCCCTCCTATCTCTGTACACATATGGATGTTACCAGTACTCTCTTTTATTTCTGTCTCTAGAGTTCCAATTAAGGACACACCTCTCCTCCATTCTCCTCACTCCTACTTCTCTCTCCCTTTTGAATTCAGCTGACCTGGGATGTGGGCCCAAGGTTGTCCTAACAAGTACCACTTGATCCTGATATCACCCCCTTATTCCATGTCTCCAGCAGACTACATCTAAAATTTCCCAACTGCTAGTTCCCTATGTCCCCATTTTCCTTTATGCTTCCCCCAAATCTTTGATCAATGATCATTTTCTCAATGAGGCCTTCCATGATGGCTGTCAACACCCCTATTCTGCTTCTCACCTTGTAACATACTATTAATAATTTACTTATGTGTTATGTCCACTATGTATTTGTCTCCTCCTGCTAGCATGCAAACTCCTCAAAGGTAGTGATCTTTGTCTCTTTTTTCAATGGTATATCCAATGTATCTAGAACAATGTCTAGCACATAGTGGGTGCTCAATAAATATTGTCGAATGAGCAAGTCCATTTTTTCAGGTGGCCTAAGCTTTCAGAAACAGCTTGAGTAGGTCATAAAGAAACAGAGGCTATGAATTGCATGTCACTGCCCCTCAAGAGGCTTTCATTGGGTCACATCTAACATCATGCCTTCAACTTCTATGAAGCATCAATATAAGGATTAGAGAAGCAATATTTTTGGTTCTTGTAAATATTGTCAACTCTGTGATTTGGTGTCATTTTTTAAAAAAAGAATTATTTTAGAAGTTAGAATTAAAGATAGGTTCACTTCCACTTCGTTTTCTGATTTAAAAACTTCCCAACTCATCTTACAATCTTTTTGTCATGGCTTCCAGAAAGATCAGAGGTATACTTAGTTGCCGAAAGCATTGACCAGCTTGCCTCAGCTTCTAGTTGGAGTTATTTGCCCTTGTTTTATCTGTTTATCTATCCATCTGTCTATCTATTATCTATATTCATCATTGTCTATCTGTCTGTCTGTATTAGTTTCTAGGGATGCTATAACAAATTACTATAAACTAGATGGCTCAGAACAACAGAAATTGATTCTCTAACAGTTTAGGAGGCCAAAAGTCTGAAATCAATGTGTCAGCATGGTTTCTTCCTTCTGGAGGCTCTGAGGTCTGAGGGAGAATCTATTTTATGCCTCTCTCCTAGTTTCTGATAGTTTCTGGCAATTCTTAGCATTCCTTGGCTTGTAGCTACTTACTCCAATCACAAGGCCTTCTCTTCACATGACTTCCTTATGAGGATACCAGTCATGGGACTTAGGACGCACCCAAATACAGCGTGGCCTCATCTTTACTTAATTAACTACCTTTTCAAAGACCCTGTTTCTAAATAAGGTCGTGTTCTGAAGTTCTGGGTAGACACGAAATTTGGGTGGGCATTATTCATCCCAATACACTACTAATGTCACTTCTGATTCTTCTTTTACCTTCTGCTCCCCAACTTCTTCTCAGGTATGTTGTTCAGTCTCTCTTATTCATTTATTCCATGATTATTTATTGAGGGCCTCCTATACGCAAGGCATTGAGAACGCAATTGTAAACAAAGCCTTTGCCCACTCCCCCAGAGCTCTTACTGTATAATGAAGAAGAGATATGCTAAAAAATAACAATTTGATTAAATGTATATTTAAAAATAGTGAAATTTATAAATTATGACAAGCGCTATGAAAAAATATGAGGTATATGAGATTATAAAGGGAGATATGATTTTTATTGGTCAAGGATTATCAGGGGTTGAGGAAGGGGGATTTTATTTTTTATTATTTTATTTAAAAAATTTATTCTTAATTATTATGGGTACATAATGGTCACATATACTTATAGGGTACATGTGATATTTTGACAGAGGCATATCATGTGAGTTAATCAAATCAGGGTAATTGGAGTATCTATCACCTCAAGCATTTATCATCTCTTTGTTTTAGGAACATTTCAATTCCACTCTTTCAGTTAATTTAAAGTATATGCTCCAACTTATTGTTGACTATAGTCACTTTGTTGTGCTATCAAGTATTGTTCATTCTATCTATCTAACTATATTTTTGTACTCATTAACTACCCTTCTCAGCCTCTGGTAACCATTATTCCATTCTCTGTCTCCATGAGATCAATTGTTTTTAATATTTAGCTCTCACATATGAGTGAGAACATGAGAGATTTGTCTTTCTGTGCTTGGCTTATCTCACTTAACATAATGTTCCATCCAGATTTCATTCTTTTTTATGGATTTTTAACATTCCATTGTGTATATGTACTACAACTTCTTTATCCATTCATCCAAATCTTGATTCTAAATCTTGGCTATTGTGAATAGTGCTGCACTAAATAGGAGAGTGCAGATGTCTTTTTGAAGAAGGGATATTTTAGCTGGAAGTTTATAATGTGAAGGCTTTAGCTGAACAAATGTCAGAGGGGAGAGTTTTGAGGAAGAGGGGGCAACAGCATGTGCAGGCCCCCCAAGGTAGGAAGCCACTGATGTATCCCCATCTACAAGGCCCATTGTGGTGGGGCTGTAATGAGCCAGGAGGAAAGTGGCATGAGATGAGGCTGGGGCAGGTCCCACAGGGTATTGTAGGCCATGCCAACATTTCAGATTTTGTCCTGATTAACATGGGAGGCCATTGCAGGCTTCTGAGCAGAAGAATGGTCTGCTATGTGGAAAACAAATTGGAGGAAGGCAGGAGTGAAAACAGAGAGGCTAGTTAGGAGACTTTTGTAGTGGTCCAAGTGAGAGATGATGACTTATACTAGAGTGATGACAGTGGAGATGACAGTAAATGGACATATTTGAGGCATGTTTCATAGGAGGAAAAGATATGGCTTGCTGATAGAGCCGAAGGTGAAGTGTGGGAGGCATTAAGGCTCCCTGCCATTTTCTGGAATGAGTAACTAGATGGCCAGAGGTGCCATTACCAAGATGTGAAGCACAGGAGGAAAAGCAGATTTAGGAGGGAAGATCAAGAGTTCAGCTTTTGAAAAGATATATTTGAGATGCCTATAGGTTATTCAAGTGGAGATGTCAAATAGGAATACCTTCCTATATGATCTGGAGCTCAGAAGAAGAGGCTGTGTTGAAATACAAATTTGTGAGTTCTTAGCAAACAGAATCTATTTGAAGATATTATTTTTGGCTTTAAGTTTTTTTTTTAATGTTAGGATGACCTTGTATAAGTTTATCTGGCTTCTCTTTTTAACCCTTTGCACTCGCTTGCTTTTTTCTCATTATCTATTCGACATTATCCACACTTGACATCCGAGTGTAAAGGGTTAAACATCTGAGCCTGTTTCTGAGTATACCTTTCAGTCTCCTATTTTAATCATTCAATTTCTGCCTTATTTTGTAGATTTACTTCTAATCACATTGTAAAGGCAGAATATTGCAACCAAAAGAAGCATATTCTGAATATTTGTGTGCCTTTGGCATATCACTTCGTACCTCTGTGTAATAGTTTCCCAACTGTTAAAGAAGGGAATTTGTTGTTTTCAGTTTTCTAAAAAAATCTATGGTTCTGTAATCTAAGAAGTACTAGTTAAAGTGTGTCTGTTTTTCTAAACTTATGGAGGATTTATCCCTAGATAGTCACCATTGGGAATTTAGCAAAGCATTGGTTATATATTGAAGGATATCTTGACATACACATCACAACCAGCAATTAATGATTAAAACAAACACTGTTAATGTTGACGTCAGACACTATTGCTGTAATTCAGAACAGCCTTTCTTCTGTATTTGTGAATATCGGTTGTGGGGAAAAGTAGGAATTTAGACATTAACTCATCAAAATAGCATCACATTTACATCAAAGACAAACTCACTGCAAATTCCTATAGGAATGAGTACTTTTCAGGTGAAGTGAAAAGTAATCCAAGTATCATGGAGAGTCTTAGTATTAATAAATGCAGTGGTCTGGAGTATGAGGCACAGGTATCAGCATTTCCTTATGTTCTTTAAGGTAGAGCTGTCAAAGTGTCAACATTATCAGCAGCATTTCCATACCTCAGTGACAGCGAAACTTCTCTTGCCACAGGGAACCACCTTGTACCACTTGTCATGCAGCACATCCATAAACCCGTGTGACTTGTATTGACTGATTAGCTCGGATATGTTGGAGGTCAGTGGAGAGTTGGGTGGGAGACCAATGCCGTATCCTAGGAGAAAATACAATCTCAGATGAGTTTCTTACACTGTTCCTGAGAGGAGGTCATCGTATTTTGTACTTGGGTGATATTGCCATCATATCTGACAACAAGGGCATGGTGAGTTTTCATCATCTTTTCTTCAAAGGACTCAAAGATATGATTACCCTTAAATTGGCTGCATCTCTGAGTCAATCAGATGAGTATGAAAAGGAGAGGAATGGGTTGTGTGCGGTGTACTGGTGGAACATTTTATGTCAAGATCTTCTGCCCTTCCCTTCAAAGCATTTCTTAGAAGCATTCTTTGAGGTCTTTACCAGGGTTAGGATTCTCTATCCACTTCTCTCAGAATCCCTCCTCTGGACCTTCAGTACACAGAATTGGATTAATCATAATCTTTGGTTTATGAGATTATTTTATCACTGTTAACACATGAACTTCTTTTACTTTTTTTGATTTATTTTTGAATAATAAGACAATGTGAACATACAATACAGCATGAGAACTAAAATATCAACAAGAACATATAAGAACTAACTTTAATTGCCCCCCAAAAAACACTACCCCCAAACCTAAAGAAGTCTGGTAATATCAATTGTTGGAGAAGACATGGATCACTAAGACCATTTATATATTGCTTATTGGAATGCAAATTGATATAACCACTTTGGAAAACAGTTTGGTATTATTTCGTATAGTTGAACATTTACATACTTTAAGACCAATAATTCTGCTCCTAAGAACGTTCGTTCCCCAAGAACTGCTCCACAAGCACAGCAGATGACATGTACGAGAATGTTCTTAGACGTACTGTTCATAAAGGCAAAAATTGGCAACAACCCAAATTTTCTTTGGCAGGGGAATGGGTAAATAAATTGTGGAATATTTATATGGTTGGAATATTATATAATGAAAAATATATGAACTGGGACTAGATGTAATGATATGGATGACTCTTAGCAATATGCTATAGAGTGAAAAAAGGTCAGTTCCAGATGATTACTTGCAGCACGAATTCATTGTATAAATATTAACATATTCAAAACAATATATTTTTAGGAATACATATATATGTGATAATACTATATTTAGAAAAAAAACAAGGTATGGTAAGTGAAAGATCCAGGATAGTGGTTACGCAGGGCAAGGGAGGCAGGGGAAGGAATGGGGGAAGAGCACAAAGATAGAATTAATTTGTTGTCAGAGTATTTTTGGTTTTTTTGAGACAGAATCTTGCTCTCTGCCCTGGCTAGAGTGTGTTGGTGTCATCATAGCTCACTGCAGCCTCAAACTCCAGGGCTCAGGCTATCCTCCTGCCTCAGTCTCCTAAGTAGCTGGGACTACAGACACGTACCACCACACCCTGTTTATTTTTCTATTTTTTTGTAGAGATGGGGTCTTGCTCTTGCTCAGCCTGGTCTCGAACTCCTGAGCTCAAGCAATCCTTTTCCCTGGGCCTCCCAGAGTGCTGGGGAGGCACCGTGCCCAGCCTGTTGTCAGAGTTTTAATAGACAGCTTAGACTCTCTGTATCCTCACACTGTGTGGCTTTACTTGCTTTCCACAATGTTACTACACTGTTAATCTCTTTGGTGAGCCATGTCAAAGAGGCTAATTAACTACATTTTGTTTTTAGCTGTCGGATAGCATAGTGAATAAAAGATTTTTTGCCTTCAACATGATTGAGGAAGAAAAATTAAAAATGTGGTTAGTTCCTTTTTCACAGACAAAGATTAAAAGGCTGTCAAGGTTCCAAAGATACTTAATGGGAACAAATAACTCCTATAATTATTCTATCTTATAACTCAATTCCAAGAACATTGGTTTTTGATCCTTTTTTAATGCAGATACATAAATCTTTTTTTAGAACAATAACAAGGCTTGAGATGTGTGTATAACCAATAAAAGAGAAGAAATAAATAATGTGGAAAAATTTGGGGTTTTTGTGAGTTGTATGTTTTTTCTTTCTTGATGATTTTGTTTGTTCCTTAACAATGGGGAGTCAAGGAAATGATGACAATGTCAAAAGCATGATTAGAATTTTCCATTCAGTGAGCTATTTTGAGTGCTTGTTTTGTGCCTAGTAGTTTTGGTTTGAAAGGAAAGACTGAAAATAAAAGAGTTTGGATGGGCAGCTCTTTCTTCCACTGATGTTATCTTTAAATAACATTCTTTAAAGAATGGGTAACTTATTATAAGGAAGTAACCAGTTTTCTTTAGAAATTTATAATAAATGCTATTGACTATTCAACTGCATATACATTTATTCAGTACTTATTTACATGTCAGGCACAGTACTGGACACAAATATAATAATATTATTTACCAAGTCACTGACTCACACATTCACTCATTTATTCATCCAACAAATATATCCTGAGTGACTGGGCACCGTGTTAAGTGGTCAAGATTTAGCAGTAACCAAGGCAGGTACGGTTTCTGCTGTCATGCAATGTATATTCTACTGGGAAGAGAGATACTAAACAATGCACAGAATAATGACTATTTATTATAATTGAGATAGGCTCCACAAGAAAGAAGACTGGTACATATAAGAATAAAGTGTAGGAGGACTTGGGACTATCTGGTAGGAGAGAGTTGATGGTCAGAATAATTAACCAGGTTGGCTGAATATTAATGTGTTTTTCTTCCTCAGGGCAGTAGTTTTCAACAACAAAAACTTCTAATATTTATTGAGGGCTTTGATACACTAAGTACTGCTCTATAAGAAACTTTTTACATACTTTACCCCATTTTGTTGATTATTCGCTAGAACAAGATTATTCGCTAGAACAAGATTATTTGCACATAGTTCAGTTAAATCATTCTGGGATTCTAATAATAAGAACTAGGACATACTGAGCTCTACTATGTGCCAGGCACTATTCCACATGCATCCCTACATGAACCTGTGCCAGAGTATGTATTACTTAGAGACAAAGATTGAATAAGTAAACTGCCAAGATCACACAGCTGGTAGCTGGCAAAGCCAGCATTTGAAAGTAGGTCTGTTTGGTTCTAAATCCAATTCTGTCTCCACCATGTTCATTACAACATTCGACCAAGTCAAGGGAATACTTGACCTGTTTCCTCCCTTTTGATATGGGCCCCATTACTGTAGGCATATTGATGTAATCCCCCAAACTAGGTAATTGATTAAAAAAACCACAATCATCTAAACTGGTAGTTTGTTTTCAGCAGAAACAAGTATATATTATTCACAGATTTTATTTAAAAACTTTTCAGTAAGTTGTATAGATACAGTGTGAGAACTTGTATATGATTATATAGGTGAGGAAATTCATTAACAAGGACCCTCACGAATCATATTGTTTCTTCTAAAAAATTCTCTTAAATCTAATAATTCCAAACCATATTAGCATAATAATGGCAGACTTGTTTTCATTTGATAAACATTTATTGCTCACCCATTCATCTATCCATTAATTCCACAAACATGTGTTGAATGCTTATTCTGTGCCAGGCTCTCTGCCAAGTGTGATGGAAATTACCCAGTTGAATTAGACACAGCGCAGAATCCATCCATAAGAAGCTTAAGGTAGGAGGAGAGATGAGGGGGATGAGAGATGAGGGAGATGAGGTATACACAGACTATGTAACATGGGAGAAAGTTACATGATTTTTCTTGGAAAAAAAAGATGAGTGAGGCATACATTCAACAAAGGAAAAAATATAATGACTAGGACACAATGAGGAGAACAGATAAAACTGTGGAAGTTCAGAGGACTGAGAAATTGCTACCAGATGAGAGGATGAGAGAGGCAACTGGGGTGATTTTTGATAGTGGTATCTTTGGTAGATAAGACAAAACTACATGAAAAGGGAAGTTTTTTAAATTTTGAAATTCATACTTATGATAAGTCTACTTATTCTAAGAATAGAATTTTGGTACTACAACAAATGTATTAAAATTTCCTTAAGAATAAAACCTATGTTGAAATTATAGAGACATTTATAAAAAATTGCGACAAAGGAAATAATAAATATTAAATCATTCCACTCCATCATGTCTAGGGTAATTTGTAGTTGACTGCTAAAAATAGATTACTACTCTTTTAAATTTTATATTTTAATACATATATCAAATATTGATATTTTAATGATTTCTAGCATTAATAATAACTACTATTAGCTAATTAAAACAATCTGTGCATACAGAATGAGGGGAAAAGTAGGAAAAAATTATGTGGTGATGAGAAGAGGCATTTGTTAAAAGATATAAAAATCCATTTTATTCAGTAAAATGTTCAGGTTTTTATTTCTGTCTTCTTTATCAGTTGCTTTCCAGATTTGCTCATGTTCATTGGTCAAAGAATTCTTATTTTTAAATTGCTGACTCAACTTAGCAGCCTGAGTTGCTTTCATTATCATTAGAAACGTGGCTTTGTAATAAAGACAGAGTTGACTATTTTGTGATTGATGGATGAAGCAAAATGGAATCCTTCAACCCCAAAGATGAAGGCATCAGGCACCCTGGAAATTGGATACAGCTTAATAGCCCAAGAGAACAATTTTCAGAATAGAATCCTGATCTCTTTCCCATGGATATATCAGCTTTACTCAACTAAAAGTGGTGGAAATATATTGAGGCTAGCAAATGTATAGTTAGAAATTCATAGACTGAAAGAATCTTCCTGAACTGTGGTTGGAAATAGATGTTTTGAAAATAAGATCTCAGATAGGGTTAAAAAGGCTTTAGGAGGAAAGATTTATTCAGTTTTGCAGTCTGTCCTTGGAGTACCATATTTAGCTGCTCTGAGACAATGGTTGAGAACATATTGTAATGGTTCCAACTAAAAAGGAGACTTTAAAAATGTATTTCCCTTATCCCCAGCACATCAAAGTGGAGAGAGAAATGTGTGGGAGAAGCTGAGACCTATGGAGGCTATCCTGGGAGAACTGTATAGTGAATTGGTCTCAATGTATTAATTCAATACACTGAATAATAATAATTTACTGAGCACTTCCCATGTGCCAGGCATGTTCCTACAGTATATGTTTTACATTGATTATTTTAGTTAATCCTACAACCTATCATAGATGCACTGTTTGTCTCCCTATTATGTAGAAGAGGAACCGGAAGAGCAGATTAATAACTTTGCAGTTAGCGACAGCGATTCTATTCTAACCCAAGCACTCAGACTCCTGAGCTACCATTCCAAGTGCTGTTTTAAGTAATTATTGGAAAGCATGTAAAAGAACACACTTAAAAATAGGCAAATGTCTTTGGCAGAAAGGTCAAAAGTCATTATTGTGCAGTTACATTACTCTTTTTCCTTGTTTGACTGTTATTGTCAGCTAACTCTGAAGCATACATTTGGGACGTGTATTCATTTATTTCAACACTTTATTCCTTCTACCCCCCCCCCCAGCAATATGTATTTGTGTCTTGGTGTATGGTATTTAAATTTGACCAGAAATTTTCCACATGCTTTTGAATTCCTAATAGTTTTGGTTTGTTCTACCACATACTCTTTAGCATCAATGAATACTCAAGGAAGAATTTCAAACTAAGTGTGGAGCCACTCTCTCTCATTTGCCTTTCTTTTACTTTTTAAGTCCAATAAATGAAGAATGGTGAGATTAGAAGGGGTATTTAGTAGTTATCTGAATATGTTCAGGTTTCTGTAACAAAATACCATAGACTGGGTGGCTTATGAACAAGAGAAATTTATTTTTATAATTCTGGAGGCTGGGAGATCCAAGATCAAGGTGCTGGCAGATATGGTGTCTGGTGAAGGCCAAAGCCTGATTTCTGGTTCATAGATGGCACCTTTTTGCTCTGTGTTCACATGCTGGAAAGAATGAATGAGCTCCTTGGACCTATTTTACAAGAGTATTAATTCTGTTTTATAAGAGCAAAGTCTTCATGACCTAATCACCTCCCAAAAGGTCCCACCTCTAATTCCATCACATTAGGAAGTAGTTTTCAACATATGATTTTTGGAAGGACACAAACATTCAGACCATAACAGTGTCAAACTGAGTAGGTATACTATCAATACTTTGTACAATGAAGGTACATTCAGTATGAAGGAATCATTGCACTCTGTTTCCTCTCCTGTCTAAATTGCTGAAATCATTTAAACCCTTGGGAAAGTATGTGCAAACTAAGAGAATGCTGTTGATTAACTACATTAGTAAGTAAATTAGGTACTTATTTCAAATCCAACCTAATGAGTTATTTAATAGATAATACATTATTTATTACATAATTGTCATATGCCTAGCATTGTACTGGGCCCTGTGAAGAGGTACTGGTAGTCATATAAAACATTTCTGTAAGCTAAACGGGAAAAGTATTGTTCATAAACTGTTTTGATGATTTTGTTTTATACAGTCTAACTTAATAAAGTTCCCATTTTAATAAATTCAAAAACTTAAATGTTGTTAAACGAAAGCATACAATATTTTCAAAATTTTCATTGAGAGAAATATTTCCCTGAAAATCTATGAGCTTAACATTTTTTTAAAAAGCAGCAATCAAGACTTTTGCTAGTATCATCAATTAGCTAGTTTAATAAAAATCAAAAATACAAAAAATAAGACTTTTAATAGTATCTCTGTCACGTTATTGTGTATAACTTATAAGTATCCTCCCTTTGTAGGTTTATCGAGTTATGTTTTTAGTTGTGAACTTGTTGGCAGGCGCAGTTGCAAAGTAAATTTTCTGATTTGTACCCCATCATTTTGAGAATAAACCAACAATTATTTAACTCTCTCAGTTAAAATCTGCAGTTTTCCTGCTCCCTTGCAGGGAGAGCTCTTCCATGCGCCATTTTGTGCTTATCCCCTTTGAAAACAATGTGGTGTGTCTAGAGATGACGGGAACCGCAAGACACTAAGTCTCAGGAGCACAGATGGAAACGTAAACAGGAAACCAGTGGGGAGTTAATTGTGTGGCATCTGGCACTGGGGTCTAGCAGAGGCAAACAAGCCATCTTACCACTGTCTTTTGACAAGATAGGGTTGCCCCCTGAAGACAAAGGTGGAAAATGGAGCCCCTCATTCTTCTGCCCTCTGCAGATGATTCATTGTTAGTAGCTACTAATAGCAGAAGGGACCTCAATTACCCAGTGGATCTAGGACAGAAATAAAATGTAACATCCCCAGATGCCACAAAAATTGGGAATTTTTCCATTGTTACATAAAAATGAGGTTATATCCTGAATGTCATTTGGTTTTCTAGCTTTTTCTTTTTCTTTTTCTGCTTTTGCTATCCCAGACTGTGGTCTTAATAGAAGACCACTACCACTGTCTCTCATCCTGAGTTCCATCCTTGGTTCAGGTGGGGGTCACGTTGCCTGGAGAGGAGACTGATTTCTCCTAGGAGAAGGCTCAGAGAAACAGCATCAGCTATTACAGTCTCATTTATCACAAAACAAAGACTAAAGTAAAAAATTCTGCTGAAGTGTTTAGGGGAGACAGAGACCAACTGTGGTTGGGAAATTGGAATCAGATTAGCCTTGATATCCTCGTTAACATACAGGAAAGTACAGATTTCTGGAAATAGGACTTGGGCACCCCCACGGGATTGTTTTAAGCCGAAGTGTTTTCTGACAAGTGAGCATGGCTGTCTTGAGAGCCAGCATGCACTCGCAGGGAAGAGAAGCTGGGAATTGGGAGATGTGAAATTTGCTGGTTCAAACTATCAGCTCCATATATCAACTGTCATTCAAAATGAAAGAAGCTACTGACAAAGCAATCTTTCTTTGGTCCTAAAGTTTGATTGATTGGTTGATCAAGTTGGAAGCAAAAATTTGCTGCCAGTGGGGAGAAAGGCAAACCTGAGGTCCCAAATAAGGTTTTATTTAGGACCCTAAAGGGTACTAAACTACAGAACATTTTTTTTTCTACTTATTTTCCAACTAGTAGAAGAATACTTATGTAAGAACTATGAGATTTAGATTTCTAATCCTAGTGTTATTGTCTAATTATATGATTAAGTAAATGTGATATAATGTTCCTGGGCTTTCTTGTGTGGAAACTGAGTAGATTAGATTAGATCAATGTTGAAGTCTTTCCAGTTGTAAAATATAATCACTCTATGTTTTGCATCAGATTCACTACAGTATTTGGCTGTTAAAAAAATACAGATTAAATAAATCTGGTATAAGAAATGGACTTCCCATTTATTACACTGTGCCACTACTCCCAGATATCTGAAGCAACATCATTTGGGTAACCATGATTTTTTTTCCCCTGACAACTGGGTAAATAAATGTTTGTTGAGTAGGTGAAAAACAAATTCCTAACTTCAGCAACTTAATAGCTAAGTGCTTATGAATTGAAAACGAAAACAAGGGAAGATGAATAGCTCTTTGCTTCTGACTTTGGCATTTGTGACTTGCTAGGCTGGCAAACTGAGCACATCCTGAGTAAAAGTGTATCAAAGGTGACTGATTAATACCTTCTATGGCAAATGGCTTCCCCACAGTTAGAAGTTTGCAGTCAGCATCTATTGACACTTCATAATCCAAAAGGGCTTTGTCCATGATGAAGGCGTCTAGTTTCTCTGGATCATTCCTATATTTAAGACCAAGAGAAGAAAAGTGAAAATGATTCATTAATGGACAGGAAGTGCTAAGGCTGACAGCTGGCTTTTGTTTAGGGGACAGAAAGCTGGACATTAAGGGCAGGACAAGCCAGCTAGCTGCTGACTCAGCTTTGTTGGCATCTCACCGACCTCTAGAGTTCAGACCAGGGGAAACTGATACCCTTATAAGAGACCATGATGTCTTTCAAATGGGTTTATCTACCAGTCCCTTTCATTATTTCTAAATCTAACAACAAAGCCAGAGAAACTCTGAATTGAATAGGAAGGTGCACAAAGAAGTTTCATTTCTCTTCCATTGTCAGGGCAGCTTCTTTGTGTTAGGCATTGTGTTTATGGTTCTCTGTACATTTTATCACTCATAATGACTATGACATAAGAGATGATGAAATTGAGGCCCGGGGAATTGAAGTAACTTGACCTAAGTTACATAGCTAGGAAGTGTTGGAGCCAGGTAGTCTCATTAATCAGCACTGAAATTTTTATTTCTTTCTGTCATGATCACTATCATATTCTTCAGAAATCAAATATTACTTTATATTTAGGAGTAGATATTAAGGCAATACATATAAGAGATATAGCACTTTTGGGGAAAAGGAAGTTATGATTTCTTTAAAGTCCATAGGTTAGCATTCACTAAATGGAAGGGGAAGCTTATGTAATATATCTTACTGACCTGATTTATTAATATATCCCCAGAGATTCATGTTCCACTCCCATCCCAGTAGGCAGTTCAGGCAAGAATAATTTAAGGTAGGTGTCCCTGGGCTGTATTAACGAATTGGCAATGGGCTGGACTCAAGCTGCCATCAGACAGCTTGGGCATCATTCATAAAACTCTTCCCATATTTTGAACAAAGGTACAGAAACGGTCCAGATGAAGGCAATGTCTCAGCACAGGCTAAGCTCCCACTTATAAAGGGGGCAAGGAAGGAGGAATTTTAAAGGGAACTGTTTAAGATATATGAAAAGACTTCTTTGTTTTCAGCCACTTCAAATCCTTTTTGGGATGGTATAGGACATACATCCATTTAAGGAAGGCTTTTCTACTCTCATAGTTGTCCAAACAGTTTGCAAAGAGAACAATTCTCTATTCTATCTGAGCTTAGTCCTTCCTCTCTTAGAGTCGGGAATGAGGCTGCTGGAATTCAACACAGAGGAGTGTCCTCTAAGCTCAGAGTAGAATATAGCTAGGGTACATCAAAAATTTAAATGAGAAAGACATCCCTAGACACCTGGAAGATTTATCGCTGGGCACGAAACACATCTTTACATGGATGGCTGTGCCTGGGCCACATAGGAACACAAAGTAAGTAGATCAACTTCCCTTTTTGATGCCAATGACCATTGCTCCTTTTTCCTACTCTTTCAGGAAGTGAACTAGCCAATTGAAAATTCATCCCTGTTTCCAGGAGGTATTGGATTTGAGTTACAAGGAGGCCTATGTCTAACTTCAAGAAAAAGGAAAGCACTTCCCAGCTCCACAGCAGTGGGAAGCTTCAGAAAGGGTTGGGGATGTGAATTGTCTCCTGGGAGTTGAAACTTAATGGAATCCAATCCTGGCAGTAAAACCAAAATTGAGCTGAAAATTGTTTCTCCAGTCAAAGTTTTATTGCCACCGTAGCAGAATGTACCTTGGGAGCTACATAGCAACAAGTTACCATTTGCTAATATTCCACAAATATTTGTGATAGCAATATGATCATAGAAAAAATTGAGGATCAATTCATTGTTTTGAACCAATAATTTCTAAAGTCTAGTGTTACTGGTATCCTTAAATAACTACTCCTGATTTGGGGCTCCAAAGTACAGTTAGCTATCATAAGTTTCTGTTGTATAAGAAGGCAAGAAGCAATCAGCTCACAGACTCCCAAGGAACCCTGAGTCACTGGTGAGGAAGTGGCCGGGTGTGATCCAGGTATAAGTAGCTTTTAGACTGGCTGAATCACCATTGTACTTGGCAGGGCCTCCAGCTGTTTCTTCTATTATAGAATCATGATCTGTCTTTCTTTGAGCATCCATTTGCAAATACATATCACATACCACAAAAAGAACCAGTAACATATTAACATACTAAAATAAATGAGCATTTTGATAGGGATGAATTTATTGACAAACTGTCATCTGAGAAAGTCGGACCTTGAGAGAGTAACACTAAACTCAGAGGAATTTTCATGGGAGAGAGGAAGGACAAGTTCTGCACATAGGAACCTGTCTTGTATAGGCAACTCCACAGGATGTGCCTTGCAGGTCGGAGCTCTGGGATGCCAGTGGGGTGACATGAAGACTGAGATTACTTGGAGTGGTGGCTAAGCACACAGGAAATGACTAAGCCAAAGGTAGAGAGAGAAGGCCCAGAGAAAAGAAGTGAGAGGGCATTCATGATCAGCTCTGCCTATGTTCCAATTTCAATCAGTGAACCACCTGGGGAGCTTGTTAAATTGCAGATTTTGATACAGCAGGTTTGAGATGGGACCTGAGATACTGCATTTCTAACTAGCTCCCAGATACTAACTGGAATGTGGATGCTGCTGGAACATGGACTGTTCTTTGAACAGCAAGGACCTACTCTTCCATCATGGTTCAGCCTAGAGTAGGCTGAAGCAGTAGTTAGATGCCAGAGACCTGGTTCTAGTTCTGACTCTATCACTGACTAGCTGCATTACCATGGAAGATTTACTTCTTTGGGGCCTTCTTCATCTGTTCCTACTTTCCTAATGATTGTTTTCTGCAGGCCATGATGGGACCACCACTGGGCATGGGGACCTTCTCAGGTGGGCCCTGGAATGCATGAATACCCTGAGTGCAGTGGAGCTCCTGGGGACTGCAGCAGGGGCTCACCTCATCCTTTCCACCCTGCCAGCGTTTCGCCACGCCAGCAGTTTGTCAGCCATTCCTATCGAACTGCAAGGCATGGCTGTCTCCCTGAAATCTTGTTCTCTCCCTCAACCATGAATTTGCCTGAAGAAGAGGATACAGAAGAGGATCTTGGAGGCAAAGGAGCTCTACACTCCAAGTCAGAGAGGGGCTGTAATGTTTTGATGTTCTTACAAAATTAAGAGTGGCATTTCACTGTACTTAAACATCATATATAACTTTGCTAATAGGAGAGAACAACGTTTTCTCTTTAAGCTACAGTTAAAAGTCCATAAAATTGTTTCAGTGGCCTACTATGAAAGCCCTTGAGAAAGACAGAGCCCTTATGTGCTATGAAATTATTTAATTATTTTCTCTTTTTCTTAAACAATAATTTGAGGTGGCAGGTCCTTTGGGGAGATTATCACAGCTGACCATGGAAAAACCAGTTTCCTGATACTGCATCATTCTAGGAATAGGAGGATTGGATGTCTGTTATTGTCCTGATGCCATGGGGAAGGAGAGGGAGGACTGCTCACCCTCGTGCATCGGGGCTTATCAGGAGCCATTCATCCCTTCTGCCAGGCACACTACAGGAGCAGACCCATGCCTGCACCGTCCGCCTTTGCATTCAGCCTCACTGGATTACAGGCTCTGATAATCTGCCATGGAAATGTGATTTCTCTAGATTGCTTCTCATAAATTCTGATGAGAAGGATACAGGCATGGGAAACATTGCCTTCTATCTTATTTCCTTTCTACGGGAAATCTCTAAGATAAATCCCATTTCCTTGTGGCCAGAGGAGGCATTCCATGGGCTCAGAGATTCACTGTGCAGGAAAGAGTTGCCTTGGGACACTTTATCCTCTGGCTACATTCCCTGTGTGTTTGATCATTTCAGCATCATTGTTTTCTCAAGCGATGCCAAGCCGACATTTTCTTCCCCCACCATCTGCTCCACTAATGGTCCCACTGGCTCTTGGAACAAAGCTGCTGCCAACTTGAAACGATGCAGGTAACTAGTAATCTAGGTCACATAATTAAATACATGCTATTCCATACTGCCTCCCGGATCTCACACAGTCTGAGGTGTTACTGAACACACAGTGGGTATATTTATCTGTCATTTTCAAAAGCTAACAAACACTACGTTGGTATCTAAATGACTTGTATTCAGTGAGAACTTTTGGATGCAAGAGGGTGACACTCACTTCAGATACTCCACTCCATCGGGGGTGGCTGGAACATTGTACCTTCTCATATACTCATGCATCTCCGGGAAGCTTTGTCTCACATAATCTTCAGCACTGCTTTCTCGGACAGTTCCAAAGCGGAAGCCTTGTGAGGGATGGTGCAGCTTATGAAGGAGAAAACCAAATGGCTTTAGTATAAATTATTCTTAGAACTGCTTTCAAAGTTTTTCTTTTCAATCACTGTTTGAAACCTAATAATAATTTAGAACTTTGCTAACACCCACAGACATAAACATGCACATAGAAATGAGCTGACATAGGTATATGCCCTTTCATATCCCAGATTTTACATCAGAAATTGTTCTATCTTCAGAAGCAAACAGATGGGAACAACAAACCCAAAATATAAAACCAGTTTTTTGCTTTTTATTGAGAACCTATTAGAATTCTTTAGAAGCTGTACAAATTGGCATGTAGAATCAGCCTCATTACTGTAAATTGTATATCAAAGTATACGATTCAGATAATAAAGATTATGATCCTCCTTGGTTAGAGCTACACAAAGGCCAAGTTAAACCTTAAGTCCTGAGATTGCTGTGAATACATCACTTTTGTGTTGATCCATCTTTATGCTATATTACATTTTAAGTTTGTTGAATTTATTTTTGTTGTTATTATAATATGCTCTCTTTCCTTGAAGTAACTATATTATCCAAAGCTGAGTCAAGATGTATATTTGCTCAAATGGAATGGTATGTAAGATAATTAGGAGTGACGGGGGAAAGGTGGCGGGAGTAGACCCAATAGTGTCATAGGTTTCTAGGATGCAAGACCTCACAGTGAGAAAAGACTGTGCATTGGGAGTCCTGCAGAGACTTTCTGTCACTAAGGGCAATAAAGATATATCACGTGACCCATTATTATTCAACAAAAGTTGTAGAGAAGCATTAATGTGGAATCTAAAACACAGACTATTTAAAACATGAACTGGGATTGGGCCACTTTACTGTGGTCAGCAATATTTTAGTCTCTGCAATTAATACAATGAAGTCTTTGCACTGTTTTGTTCTGCTTTCTATTAATATATTTTATATTGTTGGTTCTGACCTGAAGCCCTGGGGACAAGAATCTATGGATGGGCTTCATGGAGTTTATTAACATTCTGAAACGGGATGCAATATATTATGTAAATATGTATTTGTAATTTTCTTCTATGGAGGGAGATAATATACAGCTTTTTTTTTAAATAATTATATTTTTAAGTTGTATACAACCCCCAAAGAACTCATGGAATATGGTAACAAATAACATATATTTGAAGACGAATTGGTTTTGGCACACACTAAAGGTTTACTGGTATGGAAATAGTTAAATAAACCATGTGGCACATCGTTATAGAATGTCATGTAATATATAAGTCATGTTTGTGAAGTATACTTAGTAAAACAAGGCAAATGCTCATATGATCAGTGGACTTAGTAAAACAAGGCAAATGCTCATATGATCAGTGGAAAATAGATTTTATATGGAATGGTCAAAATTAAATATATTTATATTTATTTAAATATTGTCATTTCTCATATATATTTTATACACACACATGCCCACACCTTGGATGAAAACTCATTGGTGGTGAAGTTACTGATTTTTTTTTATTTTTTATTTGTGGATTGTCTACAGAAACATGTATCATATGTATAAGTAGAAAAATCTTTATTTTTTAAATCAGCAAAATAAATCACTCATTAATTTTTCAACATGTATTGAGAGCCTACCATGTACCGCTCTCAAAGTCACTGGAGCCACAAAGATAAATATCCGCAGTCACTGCCATATAGGAACTCTTGCCACCTGGTAGTTCATGGTATTTCTTTGGATACCTCACTGTTGAGTAGGTGATACAGCATACCCTTGCATTTAATGTCATTGCTCCATGCACTGAACAAATCCCAGTGTTTTATGGCTGTATATCCTTAATGCAACATCAATAATGACAATAGCTCACATTTCTTAAATACTTATTATGTGCCAGACTTGGTACTTAGCACTTTACCTGGATTATTTTATTTAATCCTCATACTAGCTTCATGAGGAGGGCACTATTGTTACTTCCTGTAAAAGATGAGTGAACTGAAGCTCAGAGAAATGAATAACGGGCCTCAGATCACACAGCTGTAAGTAGTAGGGACTGGATTAGAACCCATGTCTACCTGATTTCAAAGTCCATGCTGTTACCTACCACATCATCCTGCCTCCCAGCAACAATTGGAATGAAGAGTTTTTTAGAAAGAACTCATCAGCCTTTTAAAAATATTCTCCTTGAGCCTTTAATTCCCCCGGCAATTCTCATAACAGCAAACTGCAGTCCTACGGCTTGAGCAAGTCAAATCGATCAGCATTCTGTCTGTCCAACACCTATTCATTTTTCAAGAGTTAGATCAAAATTTTCTATTTGAAGTCTTTGGTGTTACCTAGGTTCACCCTCCTACCCAGAACAATAACAACAAAAATAATCAACTGCTTATTTATCTGTGCTAATACAGCCCCTTTTACATACAAAATATGTAGCCAAAATATTTAATCAACCTTTCATCTTTCCATGCCTTATCTTCTTCCATCCTGCCTGTGGGGGCTGGGCCTAGAAGAAAGGATGGCTGGATAGAAAGAACGTGAGCAGGGTGAATGAAAGGTCAGGTGAAAACACCTGCCCGAAGCTGCTTGTTTGCTGTGTGCAAACGTCAGCTGTATGGAAGTTGTTAAAGAAATTAGCAAACGGCCCTGACCCTTTGCACGTGTCCTTGGAAATAAATACGGGAACTGAGCTGAGGGGGCCATTTTCTCCTTCAGACTTTGGCCTTTTCCCTTCTCTCTAAACACTATATGTTTGAGTAATAATTCGTTCCTTCGCTACCCAGCTCAGGAGCGAAAAGCGGCCACTACACCTACCAAGAAACCCGAGGTAGATATTTCTATTATCTTCTTTTTGCATGAAAAACCTGAAGATTAAACAATTTTATATTTGCCCAAGGTCACAGAGCTAGTAATTGTTGGCCCTGGGATTCAAGCTCAGTCTGATAGAAAACATCAGCTTTTTTTTTTTTTTTTTCAAAATATTAAGGGGACATTCAGCTTTTGACCACTGCGGAACACTGCTTCTGACACTACAGTATACTGATTCCCTCATTCTGATCATTACAACACTTGCTACTTATATGCCAGGCAGTGAGCTAAGGGCTTTTTAAATCCTCCCCATAATCCTGAAAGATAGATGTTATTTTCTTATTTTGCAGATTAAAATACTGAGGTTTGGGTAAAGGAACACCAGTTCTCACAGCTAGCAATTAGCAGGATTCAGCCCATGCTGTTTCTCCTAACTTGCGGACCACGTTTCATGCATTTGCATATCACAGTTACCTATCAGGACCCTTGGCATCTGACACATAGTCTGTATCTGTTGGTCAGATTAATTCATTTTATCATGATTCTTCCATCCTTTAACTTACTCTCAGTTCAGTCAACACTTCCCTAACTTATTATCTAGGCCTGATCCTCTTGTCACAAGTTCTTAGAGTACACATATCTTTCTTTCTTATCACAGTGGCAATATTAAATTTAATTGTATAATCACATGATTACACATGTGTATCTAGACTCAGCTTCTTCACTGAACTAGAAGCTCTATGTAAATAAGGATCATGTCAATTTTAATTTATCACTGTATTTCTAATGCCTTTCATCATGTATTTGCTCAATAAAATGCTTGATGATTGATTAATTGATAACTATTCTTTGAACCCAGAGGGAGATGAGAGCTTCATCATCCCACTCAGCACAAAAACTTCCAACAGTATAGTTCACAACTCAAGCTTTCTAAGTAAACTCTCTCTCTAAGGTAAAAGGGCTGTAGGATAATTAATTAAAATACTTTTGTGTCCTGTATGAAAAGAAGTTCTTCCGTAAGTCTATTATTTCATATTATGTTGTGACAATACTTTTATGGCCTATGACCTGTTTTTAGAGACACCTGCCTTTCTGGTTCTCATTTTCCCTGCCGAGTGCCTCAGTACATCATTTTTTCCCCAAAGTATTGGAAGGAGTCAGGAACCAACAGACCCAGGCTCAAAATTCTGGTGGAGGACTTCCCCTTTGTGTTTTTTCCTTTGCATGACTTTATGCTGCATTTGCTCATCAGTTCTCACATCTGCCTCACTGGCTCTGTGAAGGCAACAGTACTGAGGTTTTGAGAATGGGAACTTCCTTCAAGAGTTAATAAATAATCTGACTTCAGGAGAAAAGTATTCTATTAGCCTGACAGAGACCCCTCTACCTTGGAGCTGTTTTACGAACACTGCCACCTCCCTAGTTAAAACCACCATCATCTCTGCCCTCCATACATTCCTTTTCTTCGCCTTTAATCCACTCAGAATAATCTTAAAACTCAAATCTGTTAAATGTCATTCCCTTGCTTAACACCCATCAATGGCTCCCTATTACCCTTGGAATAAAGTCCAAACTCCTCATATGGCCTCTAACTACAGTCCTTAAAGATTTGGCACCTGCCTTCTTAGTCTATCTTCTTCTCCCCATTCTCCCCCTGGCCCTCAAGCTTTAGCCAGTTCTCTCAGTTCTTCCCACGTATACCTTTTGCTTGATTAGAACTCTTTCATATAGTCTTCACTCTACCTGGGATGCTCATTTTCCTCCTCTCTACTATTTTTCATTTTTTGTCTGGCTAACTCTTAGATGTCACTTTTTCAGGGAAGCCTTCATTGACCCCTAGACTATAACACCCTCCCAAGATACCTCCAATTTCACATAGCACTGACAACACTTGGAATTATTTGTTCAGTCTGCCTTCCCTGCAGATTATAGGTGGGACTCATGCCTAACTCATTCATATGTTGATAAGTCTTCAACAAATGTTAGCTGCTCTTATTATTATTATTATTATGTAACAAACACAGTGCTTAGACAAAGTAGATGTTTGATAAATATTGGTATAATTAAATCATTAACATGAAATTCTCTTAGGTTAGATATATTACAGATTTTTCATATCTCATGTTGCCTTTCTTTCTCCCTTAAAATTATTTTTTCCCTTTAGTTGTTACCTTAATTATTTCAAGATAGTATATTCTTTTTTATTTCTGTGTGAGATTCTAAT